AAGAACGGAGAGCCTTTTCGGCTTTTGATTTCTTTTCTGTATCGAAGTACATAGCTTCGAAGTTGGACACAAATTGGTCAAAAGTGACTAAATGAGAAGTGGCTGGGTTGATCAATTCCCTGGTCATTGGTTGAGCCCAGCTGCTCGCGTTTCCCGTTAAATACGATATAGCAAATATGACTTTCGATTTATCGTCAAGAAACATGTGGGGGTGGGCCAGGATGTACAGTTGTACTTGACTGGCAAACACCTCGGCTTGGCTTCCTCTAGCCCCTGCGAATTTATCGGGCGTAGAGACTTTTGGCCCTTTAGGCGTAGGAGCGGTGGCAGAAGGGTTAGGTGGCGGTGGTGGTGCTTGTTGTGCCGCGGTACCAGCTGCTTCGCTTTGGACACCTTGCATCTGAGCCATTAATCGGTCCTCAGCTTGCTTGCGAAGAGTGCGTTCTTCGTTCAAAGCATTAGTGAGCTCAGCCAATTGGCGTTGGATATCTTCCATGGCTTCGGTGTGAATCACGAGGTTACAGTCAAACCCGCGCAATTGCATACCCGCGCAGCTGCATAACCCGTGATAATGCATAGAAAAATTCCCCAATCTTGATGCTTTTCACTGCCAAATTTGACAACGGAATTGCATAACCCATCAAAATGCATAGGAAAAGTCTTCCACCCAAATTATGTGATTGCGCGGGTTTGACTGTAGTAGTGTGATGTGAGGTTGAAGATTCGGTGCGAACGTCGATGAAGGTTTGTTCGTTGTCGCTGTCGAGATCGACGTTGTCTGGCGGGGTTCTGTATGAGGGAGACGTGGTTGTCGGAGTAAAGGTGGGTGTAAGGCGGTTCAGAGGCTGTTTAAAGTTTCGGTAATTCTAAGTTTTTAACTTATTAATCTTGAGGTTTCTAGTTTGTTCTGAATGCACAATCCGGAGTCTCGGTAAGTTCAGATCTGATATCGGTGAGTCAATTAAGTTCTGATCAATTCTAAAACTATCTATGATTAGATAATCTGAGTTCTATAATCTAAGTTCTGGTGAGTGGTATCTAGTCGGGTCTCGATTTCTGTAATTCGAATTCGTTATTGATGCTTCAATGCTTGTCTGGATGGATTGGACAATATGTTAAGACTGGGTCTCAGGGGTTCGTCGACAAGGATTGAGTTAGCCTCGTGAGGTTCTTATGATTGATAACGAGATTGTCCGATGAGGAATACAATCAGGTCTGTAGTGCGTAATCTAAAGTACATCATGATCTGTGACATGTGCTGAGTGAGTGTCATCTATACGTGTAATACGAGTCATAACACCACTGTAAGGATGAATTTGGCCTTCAAATTCAGTTGGTGTCCACAGCAGACTGTTCATATTTGAAATTTCATATCCTGTACCAACATGCTTCAACCTTGCTTGAAGCAATTCAAACAACCTTGTCATCACACCCAGATGACAGTTCATCTTGTTGAAAGTGATCAAGAGGGCCCAATACGCTCTGGAATAGTCTTTGAGTAGGGCAATGAATCTTCATTACATTCCAAAGTGATTTTTATTGAGTCCAGTCCTTGGTTTTGCATTTGAAATTACCATATCCTCATCCACAAACAATCAAAGTTTTTACTGATTTGTACAATGTGTTTTCCAAACTGGTTTTTGAGGAGATCAAACAATCTTGGAATTTGGATGGGAATAGAGGTGACATGGCCAAGCAATCTACACAGTGATTTGTGCACGTGCTGGCTGGTACATGTTTTTTGTGACTTTTCAATTTTTTTGATCTGACCTTCAAATTCAAAGGTCAAGTTCAAGAATTTGGAAAGTCAAAAATTGATGACTTCACCTTCATGAAAAGTCCATTGTGGATGCTCTCAGTGAGTTCAGAATCTCAAACTCTCATCAAGAAAATCTGTGTTCTACCAAACTCCTTCTGGCCTCACACAGCTTTTCCTTTGAGACTTTCTCAAACACAATTCAATAGCTGCCTTCACACATATCTGGGTGTCAAATGAGCTAAACCTGATGATTCCGTCAACCTAGCATCAAGCACATATCCAAATTTTAAAACTGGACAAGTGAAGGAATCATCATTGGTGAGGAAGTGGAGGCTCCTTTCCTTTCACTGACACCAATATAGTCTGAGGAATGCAAAAATAGATATCTCAATCAAGATGATTTCAGATCATGGGATGTACAGTAGATTTTGAAAGTCTTGAAATCAGCTCGTTCTCAAAATCCACAGATGGTCCGTGCGCCCGGCAGTTAAGTTGTGACAGGTGTCAAACTTACTTGCCGGATCAAAAAAATACTTACAAAAAGATACCATTTTATCACGGAAAACAACCTCAATATGCCTCAATCTCAAAGCTGTTGTAGCTTGTTTGGTTGAGCAACTCGCTGGTGTGTTGTGGGGTTTGCCTCTCGAGTCTCACTGTCAATTGCACAAGTTGAATCCTGGCTTTTGCTATTGTTGGCACTTTTTATAGAAAGTGTTTCCTGTTTTTTCTTGCCTGTTGTCATGATTCATAAAACAAAACAAAGCAAAAAGCAACTTTTGTCGTGGCATCAGATTTTTTGTTCACATTTTTCTATTGACTATGTTGACAAAAATAAGACTTATACAAAAAGTATAGGGCAAGTCAAACACAAGACTTGTTGACACAACATCCAGCACACCTCAATTGTCTACCCCTACGCCATCAACTAATGAGAGGTCTTGGGAGTTCAAAGACTTTGATCTCAGATTTTTGATTTCAAGACGTGTATTTTGTTCAATCGGCCAGGTAAGTTTGACACCTGTCACAACTTCACAACTTAACTGCCGGGCGCACGGACCATCTGTGGATTTTGAGAACAAGCAGATTTCAAGACTTTTGAAATCTACTGTAAAACAACAAACCCTTGCACGCCTCACGCTGTGGAGACATTGCTGATGGTATTATACTCTCAGGAAGCAGAAATGAGAGGGCAAACGGGCAAAAGTGACTCTGCCCGGGCTCGAACCGGGGGCCTCGTGCGATCTATGCTTCATGTGAAGCACGCGCTCTAACCAACTGAGCTACAGGGCCATATTGCGATTTTCGTGGTGAAAATCATACTGATCCACCATCTCTTGATATGATGATAGAAAGGCACAGGATGCATATCAGATACATAGTATCTTTGAGAGAGATAAAGCTGCCTGGATGGTTTCTTTTATAGAATCTATCAACTTCCAATATATTGCACATGTAGGGTTATTATCATACTTTTTGATGAAGAGTAGACTCCTCCTTCAATTAAGTTTATATCCTCATATTGAACACGCGCCAATTCAATTCCATACTTCTTGTTTTGAGAGGACATAAAATAGGCAAATATTATTGTATCCATACCCCTGTATATTCAGATAGTTTCCCTGTACATGTACCATTCTGGCACTTTGGTGTACAATTGTGTACCGTGAAGTTGTTATGATGTGCAAAGGGAGCTGAGGAAAGCTGTAGCATAAGAGAGCCAAAGTTTGGCCTTTCCAGATATTGAATGATTTCACTTGGTTCTTTGTTTGAAAGTAAGTCACTAGAGTATAACTCCTCTGTTTAAAAAAATCACACAGGTTATCACAAATACCATGAAAATGGACCCCTATCAAAGTTTAGAAAGGATCAGATCTAGGCCCTTCCTCTGTTCTACATTTTTTCAGCTTTGTAATAGGACAATGTATTCCGGCCATGTGATTGAATACAAAATGAATCTAAATGTTACACCAAAGGGCTACACAGCCTTTTGTAGCAGATATATCACATATTGCGGGAGCAGTCCACTTCAAGTAGTTTATGTAATGAACAGATTGCTGGAGTGGTATTAGGTCATCTTATGTTATATATCCTATGCATTGTTAATTTTACTGGCACATTGAAATAAACCCAATGGAGTATGTTGGCAATCCAGCAGACACATTTGAGAACTTTGTTGTTCCTTCAATATCCAACTGATTGTTTGGTAAGGACAAACTTCTTCATCCTATGGGAAATTGTCTCCACTGGCACCTGCCTTGGAGGCATAGTGGAAGAAAGAAATGTATATGTATTTATCTTCAAGTCATTGGAAATTGGTCTGTTATCACTGCCAAATGTTTGCAATTCCCCAAGAATTTAATTTTGATTTGATAAGCAGTTCAAGTCCAAGGTAGATTCAGCTTTGGTTTACTGGATGGGTTGATGTTGTCCCTGAAAATAATCTCAGACTGGAGCCAAGAAACAAGTAATCCTCCACAGAGGTAGAGCACAAATCAATAACAGATGTCAGAGGATGAATGGATCAGCTCTTCATCTTTCAAGTATACAGAATTTTAGAACCATGTCTGTTGGCCCTAACACAGACAATTTCCCTGGTGTAGCATGCTTGGCTTCTGGCCTTGCAGCCTTGGCTTGGACATGAAGATACCAGAGAAAGAAAATCCATCAGTTCAAAATCTTCCCCAAGCTTTCAGATTCACTCATGAACAATATCACTAACCTTCAACAAGTTGGTTACAGCCTCACTTTTGCTGAAAAGGGAGCCATCCTTGTTGTATGTCCAAGACATCCCACAGCCTCCTAGTGTATGTACTATATAGGCTTTGAAGGTTTGGCAGGTCTTTGTGCACTGTGATTCACGAGACAAACAGATAAACTGTAGTGATCTGGCTTCCATATATGGAATGCTACAAATGCACAATGCTTAGATTTCAGACTCTGAAGATATGCCCAAGCTTTAAGATGTGTTATATAACAGAGGATTTTCAACCAAGACACAAATAATTACGAATTGCCTTCATAAGAAGAAAGATAGAAAAGTGTGTACTAAGACATACATATTTGATTGATGATTGATAGCCCCAATGACATCATTCAAAGGCACCACAATCTAATAAGCGTGACCGTTAGTAATTTGATTTATGAGCCCAGTTTAACCCCGCTCTGCTGTTGAACAGAGGCACGGGACCAGGGCCGACTCATAAGTCATGTCGAATATAAAATTCGATCGCAAGGGGGCCTCGCCCTCACCACATGCCTCTTCGGCCACCTCAAAGGCTTTTTCTCAAACATCACATTACTCGATCTCATCGTTCTTTCTCAATCGCAATGTCTGACTTGAATAAGCATCCCGGAGGAATCGCTGCTTCCGAAAAGGTTCAACCTGAACTAGACAAAGGCTTAGACTGTTGGAGTGTCTTCTCGCCTGCTTCAGGATACATGCCAAAGGTTGGCTTGCCCACAAGCTTGTCCTTATCCTTGATGCAAGCACTGATCGATTTCGTACCTCTCAAAGGACTCCTTGAACTTAGGTCAAGGTTTCATGAAGTGCGTATCATATCGCTCTATCGTAGTCATAGCTAGTCAGAGGCCTACTTGATGCAATGTACGTGCGATGCGCTAACCGCAATTCACCCTTGGTCTTCTGATCTAGTTGGGCTCCACGTTTGTGACCAAGTCTTCTCGCCTCCCTCGTAGTGGGCATATCAGGAAAGCGTAGACAACACAGTTAATTCCAGATCGATTCCCCATTCCCTATGCACATGGGCTATGATAGCTGCTTATATCAAGACAGCAGCTACAGATGCACTTGAGGATATATCTGCAAACCACTATAGTCTTCCGAAAGGACGTATTCGATTGCGCAAGGCAGTGGCTGAGCACCTGTCTGATAGCTTCAATTTGGGCAGGGCCTTAGATGCGGAGACTGAAGTGTTGATCAGTGCAGGTGGGCGTTCGATCAATCCTTGAAGTGAAGTTATGGATGTTAACTTTTGATGCAATGGGTCACTGATTCGTGCGGACGACTTGCCTTGAATTCAGGCGCCAATATGGGCATCTTTGCCAGCTTGCTCGCATTTGTCTCTCAAGGCGATGAGGTCATTCTCATGGAGCCTTTCTTCGATCAGTGTATGTTACTTGGTGTTATAATTGAAGAATGTCCTGATTTGACTTTTGGTTGTCAGATATCCGTAACATCACATTCACCGGGGGTAAGCCTGTTTACGTACCTATACGCCCCCCGACTGAAGCAAGTGAAAAGAACGTAAACAGTAAGACCTGGAGATTGAATGTTGACGAGCTCCGGGCCGCTATCACCCCCAAGTCCAAAGTCATGTACGTGTCTCCCATTTTTGCTTAAACTGAGCCTGAATTGTTGAGGCAAGCGGACTTACGGTCCCGTTTTGTATTCTTGATAGTATTCTTAATACACCCCACAATCCAGTGGGCAAGGTCTTCTCTGCGGACGAATTGAAAGCGATTGGAGATCTTGCTGAAGAGCATAATCTTTTGATCATCGCAGACGAGGTGGTGCGTATGACGAAGATCACCTTCGATCGATCCGCTTTTGATCTCATTCGTATCTCTAAGTCTTTTCACTTCGGGCCTCGTATTGTTGCAGTACGACTGCCTCACCTTCGATCAACCACACGTCCGTATAGCATCCCTTTCCAAGGCTCTATGGGATCGCACCATCACTGTCGGTTCGGCTGGAAAATCGTTTTCAGCAACTGGATGGCGTGTTGGGTGGTGCATTGGACCTAAAGCTTTGCTTACACCCATATTAGCTGTCTTGACAAGGACGGTGTTCTGCTCCGTAAGCCCTTTACAAGAAGCCATCGCCGCGGGTTTTGAACAAGCCAAAGAAAAGGAATTCTTCGAGATTCAACGGCGCGAGTATCAAGAGCGAAGAGATCTTATGATGTCCTATCTTGACAAACTCGGATTGCCTTATACAGAGTTGAGCTTTTTTGCTGCCTCATGGCATCACTCGAGGCTCTACTTACACGACTTTATCTTCCTTTCAAATTCCTGGGATAAATCAGACCAGATGGAGTAAGTTAAGCGCTTTCTGGCCACAATGATTCTTGTCTTGCTTACAAAGATTGGTTTTTAGTCGTATTTCATATTGGTAGAAAACTCGAAGATCCAAATTCCGGCTGATTTCGAAATCATCGACATTGTCAAGAGTAGACCTCGCGATTGGCATGTGTCTTGGTTCATTGCCAAAGTCGCTGGTGTTGTGGTGCGACTGACTCTCAGATCTCTCAATCTGTCTCTTCTTTTGTGATGATGATAACTGACGGCTTTCGCGGTGACTTCTTGGTTCATGCACCCAACTCACAATGATGCGCATTGATCGAATCAGTGCATACCACCCTCTGACTTTTACTCTGCGTGTGTCTCCATGTCTCTTCCCAACTCCATCGTACCAAAAGTGCTGAGGTTGACAGATGGCTGATCATCAATTAATTTGGGGTCTCGCTGTGGCTGATTCTATTATGCCTTATTTTAGGGATCATGTCTCCATCGCGGAGAATTTCACCAGAATAGCTTTCTGCAAAGATTTAGAGTTGAGTGAATTTGTAATTGTTCATTCGTCTTCAACTGTACGCATGGGGTATTTACTCATGCACTTTATATGCGTTGCTGGCAATCACGATGTAATCAGTACTCTGAGAGAGGCTGGCGAGCGTCTTCAAAAACTCAAGCCATATCTGAAGTGAACCCATTTGTGCAGTGCAGGAGTGTTTATGATGTTACTACATTTCTCGAAGGAATTATGTCATGTTTGAAGAGCAGTTGTTCGAGAGCCAAAACACGCATGTTTTTGTAACTCTTGACATTTGGCCTGCTGAGTGCATTGGTGAGAGATGTCAAGTTGAATTACCTGATGATTTGGTACACTACATGGTCCTAAAATACAAATGGCAGCAGAGCCTTTAAGCATGTGTAGAACCATACGCTATGCACCAATTTCCATTGTTTGAGGTATCTTGCTGTATGGAAGGCCCAGAAAGACCATCTCGTGAGGAATGAATCTTTCTAAGAAGAACTGTCAAACAGAAATGCTTTATTAACCTCTCCATATCACTGACCTTCCAAAAAATGAGGAGTGTTTTTATCCACTGTTTGCTGCATGTGAAAGATGTGTTTTGATCACTCTTGTTTTGTATCATTTGATCTGAGTGCTGGTCATCTTAGGATGGGTTAGTCAACTTTGGGTGAATCAAGTTTTTGATTGTGAAGTGCTCAATTCACCATGTGGGAACCAAGCTGCCATAGTACAAAAGCAAATTTTGGTATGATATTGAGCAACAATCTATGTACTTAATTACTTTATTACAAGGTCATACTATTCTGATGGAAAGTTGTGGGAGTTGGTGTAATTGAAAGAGAAAGAGACAGAAAATATTACTTATATTACATTTTTACAATTCAATTGCATTGCACAGCATTAGTTTGTGAAGTCTTGGGGTCTACCCAAAAAGTGATGGAGAAAGTACTGATGAAGCTATTGATTCAAAACATAATACTGATATGTCAACTTAACCCTATGATGAACCAGTTGAGACATCACCTGGATTATCTACATATGACCGTGGTGTTGGCTATATTGATGAGTCGGGGCTCATGGTTCTTGGTGTGTTCATACTTTGAGAGGAAAGATCTAGTAAATTATCCAGAGGTGATCTTTTACTTTTACTTTGGGTATTGTTGTTTGAAGTATCACTTTTATCAGATAGCTTCTGAAGAGTAGACATTCTATACACATCAGTAATGTTTTCTTTGGATGAAGAATTCATTTGAAGCCCTCCATCTGTGGCTTTTACAGGTGGTGCTTCTTGAAGTACAGTACTTCCATTATTATTGTTGGGTGTTATTGATTCATTTCCTGAAACTGTCACATTTTTTGCAGCCAAGGATTGGTTTGCCAGTATATTAGGGTCCTTATTTTGTGTATTGTTTGTTGAAGCATTTCCTGTGTCTTTTGTTGGGATTGATTTTTTCTCAACTTTTGAAGACTTTTTTGTTTTATTTTATTTCTGTTGCTTCTTTGTTTTCTCTGTTTTCTTTGGTTCATCTGTTTTCTTTGGTCCCTTTTTTTTCTTTGGTTCATTTGTTTTCTTTGGTTGCTTTTGTTTCTTTGGTTCCTTTGTTTTCTTTGGTTCCTTTGTTTTCTTGCAGTTGGTACCGTCAGAGGTTGATGTACCATTCTGACCTACATCTGGGGATGTAATATTTCCAGAAGCTGGTAATTTTATAGATTTATCTGAAGAATTTCCTAGGTCTTTTGGTGATGTTGAGTTCTTCTCATCTTTTGATGGCTTCTTGCAGCCTGTGGAGTCGGATGATGACAAACAGTCTTGACTGCCAGCTGGAGATGTGCTGTTCTCCAGAGGTGTTGCAGTTATAGGTGTTGGTGTATCAGTTACTGGAGGACTTCCTAGGTCTTTTGATGATGTTAAGTTCTTATCATCTTTTGATGGCTTCTTGCAGTCTGCACAGTCTGATGATAGTGAACTATTTTGACCTCCAGCTGGAGATGTGCTGTTCTCCAGAGGTGTTGCAGTTATAGGTGTTGGTGTATCAGTTACTGGACGACTTCCTAGGTTTTTTGATGACGTCAAGTTCTTCTCATCTTTTGATGGCTTCTTGCAGTCTGCACAGTCTGATGATAGTGAACTATCTTGACCTCCAGCTGGAGATGTGCTGTTCTCCAGAGGTGTTGCAGTTATAGGTGTTGGTGTATCAGTTACTGGAGGACTTCCTAGGTCTTTTGATGATGTCAAGTTCTTCTCATCTTTTGATGGCTTCTTGCAGTCTGCACAGTCTGATGATAGTGAACTATTTTGACCTCCAGCTGGAGATGTGCTGTTCTCCAGAGGTGTTGTAGTTATAGGTGTTGGTGTATCAGTTACTGGAGGACTTCCTAGGTCTTTTGATGAGGTTGAGTTCTTCTTGTCTTTTGATGGCTTCTTGCAGTCTGCACAGTCTGATGATAGTGAACTATTTTGACCTCCAGCTGGAGATGTGCTGTTCTCCAGAGGTGTTGCAGTTATAGGTGTTGGTGTATCAGTTACTGGAGGACTTCCTAGGTCTTTTGATGAGGTTGAGTTCTTCTCGTCTTTTGATGGCTTTTTGCAGTCTGCACAGTCTGATGATAATGAACTATTTTGACCTCCAGCTGGAGATGTATTACCTAAAGAAGTTGAAGAATTTGTTGATGATTTGTTGGTATCTGTAGGTTCTTTTGGAATTGGTGTTGCATTGTCTACTGGAGGCTTTGGTTCTTCCTTTTGGGAATCACTAATGTTTTTTCCAACTGGAGTAGGTACTTCACTTTCACTTGATGGTTGCTTCCCCTCTGAATCACAAGGCTTAGAAGATTGACATGAACTTTGACAGGTTGAACAAGCTGAATCATTGGCCTGACCGTTTTTGCTTCCAGAACAACCGCCTTCATCTTTTTTGATAGATTTCACTACTGGACCACTTATTTTGCCTAATTTCCCTTCCCCCATTCCCCCACTGACACCCAACTCAAAACTTATACCTTCTAGAAACTTTCCAGATGTTTTGATTTCTTCATTGGAAGTTTTCCCTCCATCTGATCCACCACTTTTGGTGATCTTTGCACAAAGGCCAAGTTTAAGCTCGATCCCCAATCCCGAAGTCTTGAGACTGTCATCTTTCTTTTGACTTCCTCCAGATTTTGGGAGAAGAGCGGCACATATTTTTTGAAGCTAAAAATTCATATTCCAGATGTACAAAAATGATGTAACATGTTCAGGAGACAAGAAACCAGATCACTCAAGAAGAAATTATACTGACTGTTTTTTCCGTATCTGGAGACATCTTTGTCACTGTGTCCAAGGATTGCGACCTATCCTGTGTGCATAGCATCATTAAGATACAAGGCACTATCCCTTGACATTGCTCAGACCCTGGTGGTGTAGTAGCCAAAGGTTCAGACTTTGTAGGATGTTCTGTTCCGTCTGTTTTGGTACCTGAATCTCCACCTGATGTTATTGCTGTGGGATTTGGCAGCTTAGAATCACCTGGCAATGTTTTTGGGGGGGCTTGAGGCTGAACATCACCTGAAGAGATTGCTGGCAGATTTCCTGCCGGTATTTTTACCGAGGAGCCAGTCGGAGATGAGCCAAGCTGTGTCACCTCAGAGCTAATCGCTGGAGAGCTTTGATCCTGAGAGTTTCTTGCAGAGATTGGTGGGGAAACTCCTGATTTTGATGAGGTAACTGATGCAGCTGGGAGATCGTTAGCCTGTGAGCTACCAGAAGAGGTTTTTGGGGGGCCGTCAGGCTTGGAATCGCTCGAAGATATTGGTGGGGGAACCTCAGATTTTGGCGAGGCAATTGATGGAGGGTTTATGGTGTGATTATCTCCAGAGGTGACCAGTGGAAGGCTTTCGGGCTTGAGATCGCCTGAAGATATCGGTGGTGGAACCTCAGAACCCGGCGAGGTGATTGACGGAGGTATCTTGGGCTTTTCATCAATGATTGGTAATGGAGTGATAGGCTTGGAATCGCCTGAGGAAATCGGTGGAGGAAGACTTGCTTGCGGTGAGGTTATGGACGGAGGAACCTTGGGCTTTTCATCAATGATTGGTAATGGAGTGATAGGCTTGGAATCGCCTGAGGAAATCGGTGGAGGAAGACTTGCTTGCGGTGAGGTTATGGACGGAGGAACCTTGGGCTTTTCATCAATGATTGGTAATGGAGTGATAGGCTTGGAATCGCCTGAGGAAATCGGTGGAGGAAGACTTGCTTGCGGTGAGGTTATGGACGGAGGAACCTTGGGCTTTTCATCACCGGATGTGATTGGTGGTGGACTGATGGGCTTGGAATCGCCTGAAGAGATCGGGGGTGGGACATCAGATGATGGAGATGTGATTGATGGGGGTGCTTGGGGCTTCTGTTCACCGGAGCTGACTGGTGGAGGAGTGTCAGGCTGAAAACCACCTGAAGCAATTTTCGGAGTACTCGTAGTTGAAGGTAGACCAGAAGGGTTCGTTGAACACCGACACGGGCCCGAAGAGCCAGACATATTGGATGATGAGGAATTTTGCTTTGCTCTCTTTGTGAGTCTGAACTTCGATTCAGACGAGGGTGCAGACTGTGTGATTGTCGAGTGTAGTTTTCCTTGTCTTCTCTCTAAACCGATCTGCTGACTAGGTTCATCGAATCCAAGCTTTGAGTGTAGAGACCGCGAACTACCAGATGCATGCGCCAGAATATGAGGAATCGAAATCATGCTGATCAGCAAGGTGGTGAGCTGTGTCCGACCATTTGAGTTGCTTGAGGCATTCCGGCGGCCAGGGACTAAGGCACCGAATATAAACATTTTAACTAAATAAATTTTGCAGAGTCGAAGACGAGGTTATTGACAGTTTGAATCTTTGTGCTTCCCTGAATTGACGCAGATCGATTCAGTTAGCAGTCTGATAGGTGATAATTTGTTTGTACATATATTTTTCAATCAAGTGCTTGAAGCGAGCTTGCAAAGTAGCCAGGTCTGTGGTGCACACCGATCCAAGTCGATGAAAGTGAAGAGTCTGTGAAAGTATGTCAGTGACCTCAGTGTATACAGCAAAGGAAAGGTCGAGGTTTGAAAAAGAGGTTGTGTTGAGGTATGTTGACTCAATCGCAAGAATATTTGCTCTGCGCACTTGAGGATACAGAGAAAGTGCTGGTTTGCTCTTTGATCTCTTGAGTATCTTTCTCACAGAACCAAAAGTCATCTTACTAGCCAACCCGATGTTACATCGACAATTCGTCAACAAGGAGTGAATATCGCCCTCCGGCTTCCTACAACTCGGTTCATGGTAATCGAGCTGCAACCATCCTGCGATGAAACTCTTCTCTGAATTATTTAGATGATGACCATGTCGTTTCAACGGGACTCTCTAATGGGCATCGAAGCAGGTTGACTACGGCATGGATGACTCAAACAGTGATGCTCTGGCAGACGGCTCATGACGGTCAAGAAGACGTGGCCTCGTGATCAGTTACCACAACTTTTGGTTGTAGAATCAGGTTCACGCAGTAGTTGCTCCACTTATCGAGCGTTTGGAGCAAATAAAGACTACGAGATCGTAAGGGATAGATCATCTGTTGAAGATAGAAAGCTCACGACCCAAGTAAGGCCCTCAGGTAAAAAGCTCCAAGAGATCAATTCTTCTGTTCAGGAAGACCTTACGAGGGGAATATTTCGACACAATCAGGCAAGTTGATGACATAGGCATCTAGTACAAAAGTCTAGCAAACAGGAAAATCGTCACAAAACAAAGACAAAACAAGATACGCATTTCGCTCCACCCGCTAATATTATGATGCCACTGAAGCAAAATCTATAGATGGAAATCAACTTAACCTGATATCAAGACGCAGAAATCAAAGCTCCCAAATCCTAGCGGTAGACACATTGACTCTATTCCAAGGTTCATTACGTATAAAGGCCTGATAAAAGAGAAGCCAGATCCAATAAACATGACCCATGATCCACCAAGTGAACAGATCATCCGGATGGTATTCTGGGTCCCACAGAGGATCCAACTGAGTGGCTGTAGAGTAGCCGTTGGTCAAAAGTTTGTTCGGTACTGAGGAAATTTTAGATCTCCCAAGGTTCCCGAGGTAAGTAGGTTGCCACATGACCGAGCGAAACAAGAACCATGGCGTTTCTTCGGGCTTGGGGCTAAAAGTGATGGGATCGAAACGATCGTCATGGCAAGATTTGAAGTAATCCTCGCTGAGATATGGATGTAAGAATCCAAGCCAACGTTGTAACAGGGGTGGAAAAGTGTTGAAGATTGATAGTGGAAGAGAATGAGCCATCCAGAGGTGAGCTGGCTCGTTAAGAGATGGTCGTACGATCTCCTCAGAGTGTTTGTCGCAGAGATAAGACTCCGCTAGCGCATTGGCTACTGAGCGGAACAAAGTGACAGCCGTATGGACACGCTAACAATCATCAATCATAAAGAATACAACTGTGAGCAAGCTGAGCTATGAGATGGCATTACTAAGATCACTACAACTTACTGGATTACATTCAATGGGGTATAACCTTCCTTCACTTTCCTCATAGATAAAGTCAATACTAAAGTGTCCATCGTATCGAAAATTGCACTGTTTCAATCTAGTCAAAAATGTTGTGGTCCATTTTTCTGCCAAAATAGAAACCTTATCATGATTGGGTAGTCTACGAACATCCTCGTACCGCATTACCATATCACTCCCTTTACAACAAACAAAACTTCTGATCTTATTATCATAAACGGATGCCTGAGTACAATATTCTGGGCCTTTGATAAAACGTTGTAAGATATATAAGGCTTTAGGTCGACCATTGGTATCGAGTTCACACGAGTCACCCGTCTTGGTTTGGAATTTGTGTAATAAGTACCTCTTCGTTTCCTCCTCCGTTTGTCGTGGTAGCAAGGTAAGATCTGTACGTTCGGACGCATGGGCAAATTGAATGGGTTTAAGGATATATACCCATGACTGGCTCAGAGACCCCACTGGGTATATCGACGGAGGATCAGGATACAGAAATGACATGGCCTCATTGACCGACGTGAGTGGTTGTGAGCAATGAGGGACGTCCATACGATATTCGGCACAAAGGGGCATAAACCTGTCTTTTTCGTGAAGTTCCTCTGCTACTTCTTTCAATGGCGTCCAACAAAAGCAATTTACACCCGGTAAGTTACGAACCTCCTCCGCAATCTCACAATCGATAATCGTACTGAAAGCGAAAGAACAAGGGATCCAATGATCTACGCGCTCAGATCGAATAAGGTCTAGTATAAATCGCTTGTACTCCTCTGGACTTTTGACAATCGAAGGCGAGAAATAGTGGCGAGTCACGGACGTAGAGAATCGGGACGGAGAAGTGATGGACCAGTTCTTCGAATCTGCTAGTATGACTCGATGCTGAGGGTTCAAACGGCGAAAAGCCTTTGCCAGTGATAATGCCTTCATACCTCGAGACCCGGTGATTAAGATGGTCCTTTGATCTTCCAGCTTGTCGTCTTTGAAGATCTGTCTTTTCACAAATTTACGATAGGTGTCAATCGAATAGAGCCCATTGAAATAGAGATAATGATGAAGGGTGAAAGCAAAGGTAAAGGGGGCGGTAAGAAGGGATAAGACTACGAGTAGCAGTGCTATGAGTCGACATTGGCCAAGGGTTGGAGCGGAATTCATGTTGCCTTCAAAACAAATAAAATTCTTGATGATGAAGGCGATGGACAATTGGTATCACAAGAAGTAAACAGACAATCAGAACAGAGACCCTCGGCCAGTCTTTTCTACATCCCTGAAGGGCTTTACTTTTGAGAGTCACTTACAGCCGCACCCGATCGGCTTTACCCTCAGTGGTGATATCTCGGAGTTCCTCAGTCTGGACTTACAAGGCGACTTAGAAACGGATATAAGATGGAATATCAAACTCATCAAGCATGAAAAGCGTACATCGAGTGAAGGTCTTGGAATGACAAGATTTTATGTGTAGGGGATCAGAAACTTGGTGTCAATCTTGATATCAGTGACTAAGCCAATCGGATTCCACATCTCACTCTCAAGATTGAGTGTGTAACCTTCAGGAAAGTTGAAGAAAACACACTGGGATAGTTCAAAGTTGCCACCATGATACAATGCAAGGTGAACTTGTTTTTTTCGTAATTAACTATTCTAGTCTAGTTAAATTTGTATATTTTAGACTAGACTAATACTTTTTCTCGTTGCGCTAAACCCCTAACATCATTTCTAACCAACTTACCATATAACTAACAACAGACCGGATAAGATGGCTTGGTATTGGAACACAAGATGGCTTGGTATAGATGGATAATGAAATAAGGAACAAATGGACTTTTGTAGCGTGAATGATTGTGTGACTATTGTAGGCCCTGCAAGACTTTTGTGCTGTATAAATAGTGTCTTCTGTAGCCTTGTATTTGTTTTCTTCACTCACTCATATTTCGCTATTTTTCTCAATTCGTCCATCACCTTCTTATTCTTCCATCAAATTCCACATCTCCAGGTGTGTCCTCAGCTTTGTTGTTGATTTAAATCCAACATAAGCATATACTTATCACCAGCGCTTTAGACCTTTTTGGTTTTTGCCACTTTTTCTCCTACCAGATCTAGGAGCATACGAAACATTATCAGTACTTTACTCTATGTCAACTGAGGAGACCTTACCAACCGACGCACCACCAAAAACCACACGAACTTACGCATCCACCACTGCCATGAATCCGGCTCTCACCACTGCGATGACCGCGCTAGCCGCGGCGCCTGCTGCGATTCGAATGCAGTTAACTTATAAAAACTACAACGTATGGACTACTTGGATGGAAAGTGAGATGGACAACTTAAACATCTTTAGTGTTGCTGATGGTTCTTACGTTCTCAGTGAAAACTCGCCAGCTGATGAACTCGTCACATATTCAAAACTTGAACACAAAGCTTATAATTTTATTGTCAGACACTTGGATGAGAATAATCTCGCTTTGGCTACTCAATTTTCAAGCAAGGCGGGTACTGCAAAGACTGGCGCAGGACTCTGGAAACATCTCAAGGATAAATATATGGCTAATAACGTATTTCATCAAACTCATGTTTTACATACTTTTCTTCATATCAAGTATCAAACATCAATCCAATTTTGCAGTGAAGTTCGAACTTCACTTGCTACCCTTTCTCGCATTGGTCTGGACATCCCGGAACGAGTTCTTATTGTCTTAATTCTTGCACGCCTTCCCCGATCAATGGAGTCTTTTATTTGAGTAGTTTCCCATTCTATGACCTCGAAGACTGAAGTCAACTTTATCTTAAATCGTCTCGAGCAAGACGCTCATCAGCAAGCTACTATGGACGACACTTCCACTTCAACTGCGTTGATCTCAACCGGAAACAAGAATCCTGGTCACATGTGTACTCACTGCAAACGCCCCGGTCACTTGGAACCGAGATGTTGGATTGCTCATCCTGAGCTTAAGCTTACTTACTCTCGTGCTCGCAAGAATAATGCGTCTGTCGCTGCCTCGGACACTACTCCAGCTCCTGCGGCCGTTCCTACTGCCTTATACGCTGGAATGGACCTTGACGACCCCTTGTTAGCTCCATCTTTTTCATCTTCAACAAATGCTCTGAACGTCGCACTTACTCCAACTTCAACCCTTCTCGATTCAGGGTGTTCTGATGTGATGTACACTAGTAGGGATTCATTTTCAAGTTATTCCGAAATCATCTCAAATGTTAACATTGGAGAAGTGGGGAGAACTGTTCAGGCAATTGGCCAAGGAGTTGTTGCTGTTACTGGTGTTGGTGGTGTTATAATCTTTCAAAACGCTCTTCATGTTCCCGCTCTTCCATACAACCTTATCCCTCTGTCTCTTCTTTGGCAGAAAGGATCTCAAGTATTCTACCGCGGTGATTCTACTTTTTCTGTTACTCGTGATGATCGAGTTGTTTTCGATGGTGTTGTTAAAGATCGACTTTTATTTCCCAATCTTACTATTTCTCGTCTCCCTGTCAATAAAAATCATGCCTTTTCTTTTAACCTTTGGCATGATCGGCTTGGTCATATCAATCACAATTATTTGCTTTCTACTGCGTCACACACTGAGGGTGTTGAGAATGTATCTGGTAAGGAGTTCTGCGACTCGTGCGCTATAAGTCGATCTACCCGTCTTCCTTTTTCCGGTAAAATACCCCGTCCTTCTAAACCTCTTCGATGTTGTTCACTCTGACCTCTCTGGAAGAATCAATCCTCCTACACCGTCAGGCTATGAATACTTTATGAAGATCACGGATGGTCACTCTTCTTACCGATGGATATACTTATTACGTTTCAAGAATGAAGCACTCGATAAATTTAAAGAGTGGAAGACTTTGACTGAACGTATGACAGGACGTGTTGTAAGAAAGCTTGTTAGTGATGGTGGTGGAGAGTATGTGAACAACGATTTCAGGGAGTTTCTTAAAAGTGAAGGTATATCTCATGATGTTACGGCGTCTCACACTCCTCAGCAAAATCCCTTTTCCGAACGAGGCAACAGAACGACTGTCGAAAAAGCTCGAACAATGCTACACCGCGCTTCTATCCCTGCTTTCATGTGGGGTGCTGCAGTTTTAACTGCTGTGTATCTTGAAAATCGTACAGTATCGAGATCTTGTGATGGCATTACTCCTTTTGAATCTTTGCATGGATCAATCCCTTCGGTTGGCCATATTCGAATCTTTGGTTGTGCTGCATTTCGCCATCTTACTCACGGAAGAGATGGGAAGTTTGGTCCTCGTGCTGAAAAGCTTGTTCTCGTTGGATTTATTGAAGGAATGAAAAATTACCGCCTATACGATCCCGCCACTGGGACAATCTATACCACTCATGATGTCAAATTTAATGAATCTGAGTTCCCTTTTGTCGAACTATCAAAGAATCCGACTACTCCCATTGTACCCTTCACCGAAGAAGAAATCTTGGGAAGAGAACCTGTTCGAATTCGTCTTCATCAGCCTGTCATTGCCGAAGAAATTCGACAAGAACGTGAAAACATTAGTGCAACTGCGCTTATATCCATCATTGGCAATTCTATTGACGAATCATCCAATTTATCTACGCTCGATCTTGAACCAAATCCTCCTACCTATTCGAAAGCTCTTCTAACTCGCAACTCTATCAAATGGCAACAAGCTACCTTTGAAGAGTTTGATTCCTTTGCTGCTAATCACGTCTTTGAGATCGTTGACAGTATTCCTTCCAATCATAAACCAATTACAACCCGATTCGTGTACACACGAAAGTTTGACGATTCTGGCTTTCTCAACAAATTCAAAGCTAGATGTGTAGCTCGTGGTTTTCTTCAAGAGGAAGGAAAAGATTTTGACGAAACTTTTTCTCCAACTGGACGTTTGGCAACTCTGAGAGCCCTTTTTGGCCACGCTGCTGTCGAGGATCTCGAAATACAACAAGCTGATTTTGTCACAGCTTTTCTTAATTCCCCTTTGGCTGATGGTGAAGTCGTATACATTCAAATACCCGATGGCTTTATCGATTGGATCAAACAATTACCTCTTCTATCTCCTTTTCGTGATTGGCTCCCAACTCTCTTATCTCGATGTGGCTCTGTTTGGCTCAAACTTCTTCGTTCTTTATATGGCCTGAAGCAAGCATCGAGGAGTTGGTATCTTACAATCAAATCTTGGTATTACAAGCATGGATTCGTGGTCAGTGATTCTGATGCTTGTTTGTTTATCTACGTTGGAAAGAAGGGTGACAGGATCTTGATTTATATGTGGGTAGATGATATTGTGATTGTTGGAAAGGGTGTCAGTTGGGTTCTTGAGGCTTTAAAAGACGACTATCGTTTGAAAGATTTAGGACCAGTGAAAAACATGCTAGGTATGCAAATTACGAGGAATCGAGAAGCAAGAATTTTATCTATCAGTCAATCTAAATACATTGAAGAACTTCTTAAGGTGTATGGAATGGAAGACTGCAAATCGCTCGGAACTCCTCTTCAATCAAACTTGCCTATTCTTCCTGGTACGGATAATGAAGTGGTAGAGTTTAAAGCAAGTGGACTCAACTATCGCCGTGCTATTGGATCATTAAACTGGCTTTCCCAATGCACCCGTCCGGACTTATCTCATCCTGTCAGTCTACTGTCTCAATTCCTTGAAAAGCCAACCATGGATCATTGGGGTCATTTCAAACGTGTTTTACGTTACCTACGAGGAACCTCTAATTTGTGTCTTACGTATGGAATTCAACCTATCAATGAAACATTACTTAAATTTCAACCTGAATTTACCGGCCCTCCTATTGCTTTTTCTGATTCTAATTGGGCTGGTTGTACTATCACTCGCTGATCCACATCTGGTTATACTTTTCTGTTTCATGGAGGCGCTGTGAGCTGGCGATGCAAGAAACAACCGACTGTCGCTCTTTCATCAACTGAAGCAGAATACAAAGGTTTTCTTGATGCCGGACAAGAAGGCATGTGGATTCGAAGACTTATGGCTGATTTTGGGTATGATCAATTAGTTTCAACCACTCTTTTTGGTGACAATCAAGGATCAATAGCTCTGTCTCGTAATCCAGTCTTTCATGGGCGTACCAAACATATCGAGATACAATTTCATTGGATCCGAGAGAAAATTCAGGATAAAAGCATTGACATAAAATATTGTTCAAC